TCTTGACTTGACTAGCTATCAATTATATAAATTATGTTCTTATTTTTTGTTGTTATTCAGTTAAACAATTTGATTTTCACACTTTGTGTATTCTCAATTTATTAAGAGTAAAATCGAAATTTGTTAGCACCTGCAAAGCCAAACTGCCTTAAAGGCTCTAATTTAATAGTGTATCCGCAACAGAACCAAATTGGTACTAATAACTCTGCTCATTTAGGCGAGCACTTGGTGCTTTGTCGCAAGCTTTGAAAACTCGTAGCTTCGAACTCATCTAAGTCGTATAAACTATGTCTATATGCATGCGTACATATACAGAGAGTCCAGCACGTTGCTGAAAACGTATTTGACCTTGAATAACCCCGGAACGGTTTGTCGTAGCGGGTCAAAATTTTGAACAGAGGAGCATGTTATCCTCAGATAGTTGTGTGCAAAAATTCAACTCTCTACTTTCAAAAATGCCTCCCCCACAGCCGTCAGAAATCGAGACAGTCATTTCAACTCTTTCCAAACTCCGTCTAAAAAATTCGGTCTCCGCAGAAAAAATATTCTTTTCAAGTATTCGAACCCAAATAAGTCCATTTGACTTATATCGGGGGATTTTACAGGTATTTCACTATTCGAAATGATTTTTATCCCCATCCTAGGTTCAAGGTCGTTTGCATTATCTTGAGTCAACTTTCTCGTTTTGGAAGTCCCGGAGTCATGATGAAAAATCACCTTATTTATTTTTTCACCGTACAATTTAGGAAAATGTTATTCTAAAAGTGGTTTCAAAACACGGTCCACACTACCGACCATACTTTACAGATACGTTCACTTTTTGGAGGACTTTGATAAGTGGGAGGATACCACGACCGGACATTGCACCCACAACCATAAAATGTTTGAAAAAGTTCTCCTCACTGAAAAGCACCAAATTTCTTGAATTTTTTTCGGCATTTGTCGTGTACTAAGCTCTTCGAACCCAATTAGTAACTTGTAGGGAAAATAGTTCTTCGTAAATTGTCACCAATAACTCACTCCAATTCCTCAACAGAAAATTTAAATAATTTTTTTTGCAAACACCGGCGAAATTTTTGTTGGAACAAGTTGAAATGACTGTCTCACCTTCTGGGGATTGTGGGGGAGGCATTTTTGAAAGTAGAGAGTTGAATTTTTGCACACAACTATCTGAGGATAACATGCTCCTCTGTTCAAAATTTTGACCCGCTACGACAAACCGTTCCGGGGTTATTTAAGGTCAAATACGTTTTCAGCAACGTGCTGGACTCTCTGTAATTCATTTGCACTCTACTTCCACAAGAAAGCCTTTCCCTCGCTATGCACATTTTCATATATGTGAAAAAATGTGTAGAAATTAATGTATTTATAATCACGTCTTTCAATTATCACGTGCATTAATAATAACCCGAGTTGAATGATCTTGTCTTCGTAGGTATGTACATACATATGAATGTACACCTTCTTCGCCAAGTCTCAAGAATCATTTTAAGCTCATATTCTCGTCGGGTACTTTATACCCTACATTTCATTCCCAAACATTTAATTTTATGACCTCACTTGCGTCAAGTATTAACCCACACATTTCTTTCCCAACCGTTCATGGCGAAATACGTTGGATAAATAGCAGTTCCAACTTCCATCTTGCTTCTCAATGTTATTTTTTTTAATTCAATAATCGAAACTTACTATTAGATTATTAGAAATAAGAAATAAGGTACTAGACAATAAAATTTTTTGTAAAATTTGACAATTGTCGTAAAATAGAGGCATTAAAGTCAGTCCAATATGATCCTCAACACTTATCAATATTTAGCAAGATGGAAGTGTTAATTTGTCCAGCTTATCAGCATTTAATCCGAACGGATTGAATTGTGCGGAATGAATTGTCTAAGTGTCCTAAAACCATCTTGTCTTGGGCAAATTCACTCGCATATAGTTCCATAAAGATTTACTGTTTCTCATCCTCCTGCTCCCATAGTTCATAGTTAAAAGGGGAGAAAAGAGACAATTTGTCGTAGCTTAACTGGAAATGAAGTGTTCGTTATTAGTGGCCGTGCTCCTATGCTGTCTGTCACTTGAAGTGGATTTGAGCTACCCCTTTCTCTCCATTTCCCCCGACGACGACGACGACGACGGAGAAAGGCAAGCATGGGAACACTCCGAGTGTGAACACAAATGCCCCAGCCGACAAATTTCTTGTTCAACACGGAACCAGAGTTCATTTTAGATGCAGTCACAGTCCGGAAAATGCTGCTCACTTTTCGTTTCATTCAGCTGCACACTTGATTCATCTGGGAGAGAAGCAGGCATATCCGTGAGGCTGCTATGGTGGGAGAAAAGCAGGGCCATGGCTGAGAGATGGATGGAGGAAAGCTGGCTGGCAGTCGAGTTTAGATTAGATTCAAGTTGAACAAAAGTTATTTCTTTGTGAGTGGAGGAACAGTTCAGCCCATTTGCGCCGTAATGAGGTGACAGACTTAAGAGTCTGAGCATCTACTAAACTAATAATCCGCCCGTCTCTTTTGAAGGGAAACTAATTAGAAGGAATTTGGCAACAAACATTCTCTCTCTCTCTAAGGAGGAAAATTGCCTCTGCCTTTCCTAATTAACATTGCTGATGAGAAATGTCTACCTTAAGTTTGCCAAACGACCCAGCAGTCTTCTTACTTTACTTAGTCTTCCAGATAATTGATTAAGATTATTATAGCATCATAGAGAAAACCTAATGTACTTACTTGCCTCACCTCATTGGGCCTTCCTTTCATCCAGGTTTTGCTTAAATTCACTCACAGTTCGACGACGACGGTGGTGTATATATCCATTTTATTTAGCATGGGCATGATGATGATGATGCGGTGCACGTAAGTGAACAGAACTTAATCAAAGCAGTCGTTTAATTAACTCTCTCTCTCTCTGCGCCCATGTAAAGGAGTGCTCCTTTAATCACTCATTTCTAAGCAAATTTTTCAATCACTTTGAAGTAAATTAAAAACTCAGCTTGTCCCCACTAAGCTATCAAATCTCGTCCAAATCTAATATTTCATAGCCTTTATCCTTTTATTCTCTAATGCGAAAGTAAGCAAATACGAGGGTGGAGTCTCTGGACTAGCAACAAAGTGAGGAGGCTGAATAAATTTATCGAAATGAAAAAGAAAAGCTAATTTCCATTGAAATAAACTCAATTTCATGAGCAGGAAATTTGTATGTGGATACCGTGCGCTGTTCGACTTGTTTTCCATCCATTCCTTAGTTCCGAGTAGTGGAAGCGTAAAAAAAACTGTTCATTAAAATTGGAACAATGATGTAATGACACTTGGAGAAAAATAAGTAGATTTCTAGTCACAGTTTACTCTTTCGTCTTCAATCGAAATATTACCAAGATTAAATCAAAATCAAGTCTGAAACGAGAACATGCTGGTGATGACTAATTGGATGAAAATAGGTTGGCCCACGTTTCATTATTTGTCATTCTTTATAAAGATGTGAGAAGTAAATGCCCAATTCGTATAACCAACTACACATGTATAATACGTATATACGGACACAAATGTAAGGTTAGACTTTGGTACAACTTTATGGTGGTTGTTGATGTTAAAAGAAAATGCAATCTGATTGAAGAGTGGGTTGTAACGGGCCTAAATTATGAACAGCCCGATTTTGGATGTAAAATGTGGCAGATGTGGATTTCTAGGGTGGCTTGAAAATTCTATTAAGTTCTTTATTTTGCGACAAAGAGGACAATGTTTTATTCACAAACAAATTGCTTGTCTGGTTGGATGTGTGTTATGGTTGGTCACCAGATAACATTGAAGCCATCGCCGCACATTATTATTCACTCGTCCTTTACCATCCATTTTGCTTGACAATATTCACAAAATTGCATTCGACTTTTCCACTTACGACCTATTACATTCAATTCCACATTCAATATTCTACACATACAAACCCCAACGATGACAGATTTGATGTTCACAAGTGATTTTATGAAAAGTGAGTGTTGGTTTTTTATTTTGTTTCACTAGACTCCCGCATACATAATCCCGTCCACACGTAAAATGCGGGGTGCACACGGCGTCAATGTTTTCAATTCATTTGTTTTCCCCACAGTATCAACTTGTTTTCCTCCGTACAGTGTTGTTCTGATGTCATTTTTCCCTCTGCATGGTGATAAATACCTTTGATGCTTCTTTCAATTTACTTATGCACAAATAAAATCTGCATGAGATCACCAAGTTTCACGATTCAAATTTCAGTCTCCTATATCTCAACTTGTTAAATGTCGCATGCAATAAATATGTCCTTTTGATATAATAATGTGGAATGTATCTGTTTCACTCATACCCAAATAATCCGTACTGATTGACTTAGGAGGCACTCAAAGTTGTGAATATTATATTTTCTAACTACATTATAAGCGCTCATTTTTGTATTAAAACAAAAAAAAATAATCAATCAATCCGCTAAATCTCGTTTAATCCATCAGTATTACTCATCTTCAGTTGGTACTATTGTTTAAAGTTTGCATAATGTTACCCAATTGAATTACATGCCCACGCTAGTAAGGTTGTCTGCCAATGACTAAATAATAGTTTCTGAATTTTTGACAGTTCAAATGTTCATGTCTTAAAATAATGGGCTGAGCATTTAAAGTAATTTGTCTACAAGAAAGCGATATATATGTAGAAAAATGAAGGAGTAAATAGGAAGGACAACTAATTTTCCAGACAAAAGTGAGACTCATGAGATCACATGAAATGCTTAACAATTCGCGTAAGTGTAAAATAATAATAAATACGTCTTATTTTTAGCCATATTTACGATCTGCTATTGAGAAAATTTGAATGTTGAAATATTTCAGGATAAAAATTGTGTGAAGAAGAGACTATAATTGTTGCAATATGTGAGTCACAACTTAATCGGAGTGCTTAAATGAATGAACGAATGACAAAATAGTGGTTACAACGCCACGGAATAGAAAGCATGCACGTAAAACATTACGGTTAAGCTCTTACGCTCCATCACAAAGCAGGCAGGCTAATAAACACAAATTGGAGATTCTTCATCCGCCTTTAAGCGAGCACAACAATGTACAAAAATTACTTTGCAAAGAGCTGCCGTATAGACATAAGTACGTTGTGAATGAGGACGGCGCTTGACTATTTCGCTCTGGCCAACCCTCCCTCTCTTAAACTCCACCTTTGGCCCATCCAATCCTCTTATTATGACCAAAGTTATCCTTCCTCATCACTCACTCCATCCGTACAACGTTCTTTTATTCTTCCATTTCACATCATCATCACAAACACCAACCTACTCGATCCGTCTCACTTGACTCGCACTCCCAACACGGCTTCTCATGGTGCGTCTCTTTTGGTCATCTTTCTCTTAATAATTTCTAATTTCACACGGCCCAATCAATCAATTTGCTGCCTTCCGAAAGAAAGCACGGCCATATCCCACGTACGTTTGGTGCACACACTCTGCATATCAAAATGGACAGCCAAGTGTTGAATCGGCGGAAGTGAGAGTGCAGGCAGGGTAGCAGACTGTAACGAGCCGAGTGAGTGGGAATACGAGAAAGTGAGAGAGAGAGACAAAGGCAGTTTTCCCTGCTAAAGCTCAGAACCCGGTTGACGGTAGCCGGAGAAAGTGAGAAACTACTTTCTTCCTCTCAGAGTATCGTCACTGCTTGCTGACCACTTGGTCATGGCTGTTGACACCGTGTCAAGTACAAACTCAGCAAAGGCTGAAAGTGAATCATCCGACGAGAAGACAACCACAGTGTTACCATCATCAAGTCCAGAGTCTCAGCATGAAGAAGTCCCAGCTCCAGGCACAATTTCCGGTCCTCACTCTATTGATGCCATTTTAGGAATCAAGGCTGCTTCGGAGAGAAACATTGGAGGTGGGATTGTTAATGGAAGTGCATTAAGTAGTGGACAACTCCACTTTCTCCACTCGCTTCATCACCACCACCACCACAATAATCCCAACTTTCCCAATCATCATCATCACCATCACTATCTGAACTTTCTTGCAAATAACAATAATCATGTTGACAAACCTTTTGGGGGAGGAGGAGGAGGTGGAAAGAGTTTGAGTGAGGAGGGTGCTTTCCCAGCTGAGGAGGGATATCAAGGGGGCGAATTTAATCCTGCTGACGTGAAACTGTCGCCGGGAAACATGAGCGTGGGGACTGGTTTCGAGTTCCAGAGGGGAGGAGGAGGAGGAGGCAGAGGGCGAGGAGGGGGAAGCAGCGACACGAGCGAAGAGTCGCGACGAGGGGTGAAGAGGTCAAGAATCAAGGATCTCCACTCCTCTGATTTATCTGCAGGTATGCAACCTCACCTCCTCAAATGTACATTATAGTTCCGCATAAATTGTTGTACGTGTGCTGTTGGTTATCATGTATGCATGTAAATATGTACGTACAAGGGGTGTGCGTATCGTCTAAATTAAGGGCCAGTTGGGTGAAGCTATTTGAAACTAAAGAGGACACGCTTAACGAGATAAAAAGACATTGACAGGTCATTAAGGCAAGAAGGCTTCTCGAGGGTACTCGTAAGACTTTACTAGGTTCATCTTCGCTAAGAATTATGATGACCAGATTGTTCCCTTGCTTTATTCGGGCGTGTTCTTCACCTACATATATGCATAACTGTATGCACATATTTATGTTGAATATGCAGGACATATATGTACGTGTCTTAGTCTGTTACAGGGGGTCCGCTTCTGTTCCCTTCATACCGATTGGAAATTGTATTGTAATATTTTGACACAATAGCTAAATCTCTATCTCTCTCTCACTTCATTGTTCCTTCTCTTTGTGAATGTAGTGACTGATTTGGTAAGTTGGTAGCTAACTGCAGGTGTGTAATGAGGTCTTAATTAAAGCTACATTAATTACCCGAGCGTGTGGTACATAGATCTAAGCTTTGATAATTGCGTCAGCAATCAAAAGGAAGAAGAAGGCATAAAGAAGTTGAAGATTTCATTATTAATATCAAATTGGTTCTTCATCATCAGTCACTCTCACTCACTCACTCGTACACACGTGGGGTTCACACATTTGCTCTCTCAATCACAGGCGCAGGTAGGACAATGCATCATCGCAGCGGTATTAAGGCTCATCGGCTCTCCACATTACTATCTCCTACCACCGACTAACTGTCTCCTGCTGGAGTTGATTGCAGGGACGGACGGTCAAAACGAAGGATGATTCATCATATCAGATTATAAATCTCACAGTGTTTTATCTTACCTCAAAGAAGCACCATCTATTTTATCTAACAACAATATTTTACCTTCGTCTGTCATTTGCCAGAATCTGGACAATAAAAGAGGCAAATCCTGCGAGTAACTTAACCAACCGAGCAACTTATAGATGCAAATTGCAATTAGTCAACAGATACATAGCCTCCAGCACGTATACACATGTTGTGGTCAGTGAAGTATAGGCCGAAAAGAGTCCAATAATGCTTTTATTTTCTGTCCATCCATTAGTTCACATTAGTGAGGAGTCAGACAGTTAACACAATTAAACAAGTCATGATTTGATGATAATGATGGTTGATGTGGATGACGTGATGGCTCGAGTTGGATTGGCTTCAGGCTCGGGGCGACGGTTTAGACACCTTTTTACACTGATGGGTCTGCTGTTTGTCCATTATAATTCCATTTTTCTTTTCGAAACTTCCTGCTGATCCTTATCTTGAGACGTTTTTGCTAAATGTATGTACCTGTTCTTTGTCTAAAGCAATCATGCCGTCTTCGTTCAGCTCCAATGAAGCAAAAACAATCCCTGATTTTCGTCACCCAGAGTACGCAGGAGGTGAAGTTGAAATATTAGACTCGTTTAGATTATTTAGGCTTTACCAAGTGTCGCCAAACTACTTAATCATTCGCTTAAAATTTCACAAGGATTGACAGCTCTGTGTGGATTACATGGATGGATGAACAATTCGTATGGGCAAGAATTAGGAGGCAGGGACACGAATGATGATCTAGAGACAATGATTATTGTGGGGCGCAGGGTTCTTCAGTTGAACATTGTGTTGGACACCACACCATTGTTTGTATTTTATCAAAACAACAAACACACTTGAGGTGAAGGATTATTGGTTGTTTAATCCGCCATGGTTGGTCACCTTTATTTTCAAACGTTAATCCTTATTCCTGCTTGTTTCCCTACTTAAATATTATATTTGAGTCATTCTAAAATTCCAATCGTCCAAGGTCTTTTACCTACTTTTGAAATTGGTTTGCAAATATTTTATTTTCAACCGTATTAAAAAATACACTTGATTTTGCAGTACATTCATATTCGAGGTTTCTCAATATAAAACTTTGGTTCTACCGTGTGCATCAATTACACCCCGACAGTATTTGCCGTTGTAGGTAGGTCTATAAACATGCATAATTGCAAGGTATAACGCGAGGCTTTTATTTAGGGAAATTTGACAAGGTAAACAAACATGATGATCGCATGTATCATATGAACACGACAGTGTAAAGATTTTGTTGGCGATATGTAATGAAAAAAGAGAATAATGTACTTGTGCATGTCCGTGCAAAAGCCATCAGAAAATAATTAATGGGACGAGTACGACTAATTTACCAATTATTATCCACAGCACAAATATAATATGGCAAAGTTAATACATAAATGTGAATTTCCAACCCCCTTATCCTTTGAATCCTTCAGAAATAAAAATCAAAGTAAAGCTTGTTCCCTCAGGATATGAAACATGAAAAAACTGATTTTGATTACCGATATAAAGTGGTTATTCTATGTCTTTCTTCAAATCAAACATTGTTATCTTTGCGACGATGCATTTCACAATAAAAGCAAAAGAAAAGTTCCAATTTGTTGCCAACACAAATTTCCTATGCACACAACCAAAATCCCATCATTATCTCGCTTACAAAAGTTGTGCTTCAATTGGAAATAGAACAGAATTTCAAATGAGTTTCATGCATAACCATCTTTTAGTTTGAGTGTCGGACAGCTCAATCATAGGCCAGGCAACTTTCTTCCTGTGGGTAAATATCAGTGACAGAACAAATAGATCCATATTATACCCCCCAGCCCAACACTAATATTTCCTTGTGTTATGCTTCACCTGCGATGACAACTGACTGGTTGATCAATGAGCACACGAGGTTTGACAAATTGATGAGCAACTCGTTTGTTTTCCACTTGTGCATTCAAGTAAATAGAGCAAAATATAAGAGGCAAAGTATATAGTTTCAACTTCTAATTTGCACCCTAAAGGAAACTTTGCTGGCTCCAAAAGGGTGTGATTACCTTCACTACAAATGGATTCTGACCAAGCACTTGATTCATTATTAGAGTTGTTGCCCAACACTTGCCCAATTCTTGTCGTTCTAGTTTTTACTACATATTTAGCATTTATTTAGTTAGTAGTTGGCAGCACGCTACCTCATATTTTAACCGATTTGCAACTTGAGCAACTTTCCAATCAAATACAACTACTGGGAATCTGGAATTTGGTTAAAATTGAAATGTGTTTATATTTCAATTAAATCCTAGAACGTTGTATTTGATTAGGAAGCAACTTTCCTAATTAATGTCTAGGTATCAAATAGGGGTAAAATAAGTATGTATGGGAAATGTAATGTAACTGACTCAGGATCAGTACAGGTCTGTACATACCGTAACTTGGTCGGTGAAGTAGCGTGGTTGGCAGGTTTAACACATTAATTCACATTGGCATACGTACATAAGTGCATGACATGACCGCAATAACCCTATTAATAGAAACCGAAGGTGTACCTACATATGCGCGCATGTATGTGTGTACATGTTGGTGGCCCATGCAAGAAAAGATAAGGGTAGGCAAATTGAATGTTCAAATTCTTTTAAGAGGCAACTCTGTAATTTCCTCTCTTCCTTATTGGATTTGTTAAGTAAGTTGCTTTCATTTCCCCATAGATGAGGGAGATTACTCCGGGATTGGGACGAAAATTCGCCCTGGCTCCGTAGGCTCTGATACGTCATCCGATTTCGGAACCGGTGATGGATTGCCCAACGGTGGCGGTGGCGGCAGTGTGTGTGGTGGGAACATTTCACAGAGTTTCGTTGCTAATAATAATAATAACCACCACCACCACCACCAAGGAACCAAAGGGGGTCACCACCATCCCCACAACAATCATGACCACGATGACCTGGATATTAATGATGAGGACGTGGATGGTCCGGACGAGGACCACCCATCCTCTCCTGGGGGAGCAGACTCCATCGGCGAGCCCAAGAAGAAACATCGAAGAAATCGCACCACTTTCACCACGTACCAACTCCACGAGCTGGAACGGGCATTTGAAAAATCTCACTATCCTGATGGCAAGTTAAAATTAACGACAGTCTGAATGAAATTATAAATACTATTAAAATTACATTTGTCTAATAATTTGAACTTTCTAGTTTATTCGAGAGAAGAACTCGCTATGAAAGTCAACCTGCCTGAAGTTAGAGTACAGGTTAGTAAAAAAAATTATCTCTTATGCGCATCTCTGTAATGTGTAAAGTATTATTTGGTAGTAATGAGACATACATTTTCATAAAAGAGTAAAAGAATGTAGAGCATTATTCCTCAAAGTATTTTCTCTACCCTCTAATTTATACAAATCAATAATATGTAATATATTATGTGTACACACAAGTTAAGCAGAGTTAATTTATTTTGCGTGTTTCTCATTGCACCGTAGTCACATTTCCCATTATATTTCATTTCGCCCTTCTTAATACTTCCTCTTATAACTCGAGTTGGATTTGTGGCAGCCTATTATTTTCCCATAAAAGGTGGAGTAGCTTTCCTTAATTTAAATAATTTTTCTTCGTTATCGAATCAGACTCGGCTCCATTGCTTTAATTCGTGCACAAGTCTGGAAGGTAATAACAGGTAGCAAGCAAATTATTACAGATATCGCGAGACACACAACACTGACCCTGCTTTCTCTGCTGGATTAAATAGACGCATTAATATGCATGCACCCTGCCTCGCCTTCTCCACTCCACGGCAAACAAAGCATTAGTATTGCTAATGAAAGAGTCACTTTATATAGGAAATCTTAAATATTTTATTCTTATTTTTTTAATCGTAAGACAAGCGGTCCATATGCTTTCCTGTCATGAGATGGTCATTGAAATGAGTCAAAATGGCAGTTGCGAAGTTGCAGGGTAAACAAACATATCCTGTTAAATTGTTTATGTCTGCGTGTTTAGGTGAGCGCAAATGTCTGCGGAAATTGCTAGCATCATCTGTAGCGACCCGGCACTTGCCACACTTGAATTTTCCGCTCATCAACTTTGTTTGGCAAACGTTAACATGAGGCTGTAACAGGGTTGTGACGTACGTGTTGAAAGCACACTCTCCGAAGTTGCATTTCAACAATTCTAGCGGTCCCGTGTACAAACAGGTTTCTTGATGTTCGACGAGACTACCATTAGAAACACATCTGTAACCACAATTTTTTGGACAAATAAAAGGCCGTTCACCTGTATGCGTACGTATATGAACAATGAGAGCGTTGTTCGCCCATTTTCGGGTCTTGCTAGTGCATCCAGGATAGGGACATTTATTGTCCGTAGACAACATATCCGGAACAACACAGACAATTTGTGTTGCATTTGTTATTGCTTGATGCTGGTATGATGCAACCCTATTTGAACACATAATATCAATGTGGTCACTAACAAACAATTTTGCATCATAAAGAGGTATTGCAGTTTGATTAAACTGTTGCATAGCTTTTGAAATTACAATATAATCAAGAGTGGATTTACAGACTCCGTCTTTGGCACACGGATGTGGTGAGAAACGTGTGAACACCTTTTCAGGCCAAAGTTTATCCGACACGTTGAGAAATCCATGTTTCTCAAATATCTCTTGAATTTGATCAAACATTCTTGATCTATCGTCAGGTTTATGGTTAATTTTGAGTTTTTGCATATTGAAATCACCCACCCATACTACAAATTCATTTTTCAATTTTTCTGACAACAAATCAACCGTCGTCGCCCATTCCTGTCGCTCAGCTGCTCGACCTAATCGCGAACTATTGCAAGCTGGGAAATACAGATTTAGGAAATAAATCTTTTCTTTAGTCAATAAACTTAGAACCTCTACCATGATTAATCTCTCTGGATTAAGTGGTGAAGTTATGTCAGGGTATGCCTGCTTCAAGTCCACATGAATAACTTGGACATTCTTGAAAAAAACACACACTCCATAGTCATACCACTTCAAGTTTGGAAGATTCTGTTTGGGGTGATGGAAAATGCAATCGAATCCAAATGGTCTGACTAAATCTCTAACTCGGGCTTCTTTGGAAGGATCCAATTTGGTTTCTTGGATGAAAACCAAATCACTGTTTTCCCAGTTAGGGACCATTGCCTTGATTGTGACTTCATCAAGTCCATTTGCATTATATGAATGGTAATTCAGTACTGGAGCAACTGTGGTCAATGTTTGTCTTCTAGTTGTACTAGAAGACATTTTTGGACACCAAGTCCAAGACTTACCGCACAAAGCAGTTATTTTTTATCCGCACAAAGCAGCTTTATTTTGAACCGCACAAAGCAGATTTTTTAACAGATAATGATAATACAAATAATTAAAAGGCTAAGGCTAGCATTAAAAAATAAAATCGAAGAAAAACGACGACGTGGATTGGCTGGATCACGAGATTTCTGCAATTTTAAACAAAAACGTAGGTTTAATTTCAACCTAGCTTTATGTGTGATTTTTGTAAAATTCTGCAAAAATAAATACCCTGATAAGCGTCCAAATACAACAGGTAATGCCAAAATCGAAGAACAACGAAGGCAATGCTACGCCGTGCTTTATGGTCCTCCAAATTACCTAAACGCACAACGAATAAAGTATTTTAAATATTCTTAACTTTATGAGCCTAGTTTTATTTTAAGATCCATTGTTCATCAACTTACCTTCCTTCACGTCAGAAAACGTGCGACGACGTACTGAAGGAAATAAAATCGAAGAAAAGCGACGACGTGGACGACCCTCGCGTTGGCAAGCAGGAAATCTGACGATGTAAACAATTTTTCTTACAAATATAATTACTTTGCTATATAGCTTTAATTCTGAATAAAACTGAAAATTACTTACCTCACACAACAGCAGAACTTTGATTGTGAAGGCAACAATAACGAAGGGAGTAGGGACAACTACGAAAAATGATAACGTTTTCCTACACACAATACACGAATTATTATTTATTTTGTAGGGCTTACCAATTAATAAATTTATTTAGTTATAAACAAATTACCGAGTTTTTATGGAGAGAACACAAAAAACATCCACCCTGTACGTTTGACGAGAGGAGTGAGCGAGCAGCGAAGGTGGCGGGCAATCCGAGCAACGTTTTTCCAACCGCCCGCCCGCCACCTTCGCTACTCGCTCACTCCTCTCTCGTCAAACGTACAGGGTGGATGTTTTTTGTGTTCTCTCCATAAAAACTCGGTAATTTGTTTATAACTAAATAAATTTATTAATTGGTAAGCCCTACAAAATAAATAATAATTCGTGTATTGTGTGTAGGAAAACGTTATCATTTTTCGTAGTTGTCCCTACTCCCTTCGTTATTGTTGCCTTCACAATCAAAGTTCTGCTGTTGTGTGAGGTAAGTAATTTTCAGTTTTATTCAGAATTAAAGCTATATAGCAAAGTAATTATATTTGTAAGAAAAATTGTTTACATCGTCAGATTTCCTGCTTGCCAACGCGAGGGTCGTCCACGTCGTCGCTTTTCTTCGATTTTATTTCTTGGTGTTGCTGGTGGTTTATCCAAGGTAAAGTTTATTTTGGATTATTTCATTATCAAAATTTATCAAACTAAAGCTAGGTTAGCAAAGTAAGCTCAATTAATTTTTCCTCATACGTACAGATGGACACTGTAAATCGGGGACGAGGAAGTGGTGGATTTCGAGGTAGTCGTGGCGGTGGATATCCAAGGGGACGTGGCGGTGGCCACATCAAACTGAACTACGAGGGACCCGCTGATGGTCTTCGCCGTGCCGTTCTTGGTGAAGGTCGTGGCGCTCCAGCCGGTGGTCGTGGTGGATTTAGTGGTGGTCGTGTCAGCAAGAAGGGTAAATTAATTTGATTTTATCATTTTATTCATATCATTAATTTGGCGGAATGCATGCTTTTTATTATAGCAAAACGAAAATGTGGGGAATGCAGGGAACGGGGTCATGTGGGAAAGTAAGTATTATTTTTATTACTCTTATAAATAAATAAATTTTTACTACTTGTTTCCAGACATTGCCCTTATCCGCAAGAAGTCGCCAGTGCCAAAAAAGCTGCTGATCTCCAGAAAATCGCCGTAGCTACTCAAGCTGAAGCGGCCACAGCTGTCTCGCGGGCTGACGCTGCTGCTGCTACTTCTATTGGTTCCTCTTCTGGAGCAGCTGCTTCTGCTGATTTTCTGAAGCCACCTTTTGTTGGTTGGGTGCCAGGCTTTATTATGCCGCCAGTACCCAACAATGACGTCATTATGCAAGAGACGTCTTACATCTCACCACTTCAGAAATACTTTCCTAAACAGTAATTTGTTTTTTTCATTTGTATCATTTTGGTCGTAATGATAATTATTGTATATCCTCGTTAGTATGTTCTAAATAAATTCATTTTAAGAATAAGAAAAAGGAAAGTCGGCGTCGAGCTTCGCCTTATATTACCATTTTTCGATTTTTTCATTTTAGAAAATAAGTTTAGTGAATTTTTTTATTTATCTAAATCTGGTGAATCTTGATGGCTTGTCACTACATATCCATGCAGCAGTCACTCGTCCTGTAGTTGATAATTCAGTTCAGAGATCCACGCCGAGGGTTTCATCGTTTTATTTTACTAAACCCTTCGGCGGCGCGCCGCGGCGTCGGTCAATTTTATTCTCGGCGGCGTAACAATATCGCTATATAGTTATATATATACATTTATAGATTCTGGTTGAGAAAAAAGAGGTCCTTTTGAAGTTATAGCGAAAAACAATATTTTCCCCACTTTTCAGTGGTTCCATTGGCCCCGGTTTGCCAAAGGCAAATAATTCGGTACCGTAAGATTCCGTTTTGTTAGGAAAAAGTATACAGTTTTGGCCTCCCGTTTAAATTTTAATACTTACGAAGTTCGCTTTGCCGATTTACCTTGAAAGGAATTTTTTATCAAGCGACTTGAAATATATCACAGTTTCAGTGTTTAAATTAAGGTTACATAAAGAAAAATGCACTATTACACAAATTTTCATGCTAGAAATGATCCAGAATTTTGTAGTTTTACAAAACAAGGTTCAATTTGAGACTGAGACATTTTTCTTAATGAGAAAAATGAGGTGTGAGAATTTCTCATACCTCATCCTCTGCAAATCATTGTACAGCTCATAAAATGTCGATTTCCTGAAATTTAATTAATTTTACGTAAATTTTTCATTCGGCGCCAAATTTGGGAAACGGCGGCGCGC